TTAATTATATTGAATAAAGTTTTTTCTGGTTCAGATAAGATTGCGTGTTTATATATTTAGTTAATCTGGGACTTTCTTCACCATGAATACAGTCAGGCGTTTCTTTTCAGGCGACACCTGCCTGATTTTCCAAGAAATATTGCTGCGTGTTATTGATGCGAAACGAAGGGCGTTTTTTTTCACCCCACGTCTTGCCAAATATTTGCACGATTAATTTGAAAGCAGATTTCAATGCGCCGAATGCAAAAAAAAAATAAATTGTTGGACATTTTCTCAAGTGGTGATGCCAATAAGTGATGGTTACCAGTTTCACTGAGAAAGTCGTCAGTTTGCGTTGTCGTGGACCAGACGCCGTGCAGGCGACACACTTCGACGCCGAGTGCCGCGACACTACCGCCGCCATCCCCGTCGCCGCCGCCGCCGCCGCCACAATAATCTACATCGTCGTCTTCCGGACTCGACGCATCCACACTCGCGTCGCCGACACCGACACTGGCGACACACGGAGTCGACGAGGACGCCGTCAGAAGCAGCGGCGCCACGGAGCTGGAGTAGGCGACCCAGCGGCGCCGGAGTCTGTTGAGTGCCCGCACCCGTTTGCACATGGGACACCGTTTCCAGTGCAGGATCCGCACATTGAGCGCCCAGGCCATCCCGAACAAGGCCATCACCAGGGACACGCCGCATGCTTGTCACACACCGACCACGTCATCACAGAGCTCGTCATTTTTATTTCAAATATTCCCTTTTTTTTCCTTTATCACAGTTCAAAATGAGCCTTTGCCTGAGGAACCAAATAGATAAATAGATGAAAATATTTTCAAATTGTGCTTTTTCTGCAATAAAGTTGAGTTGGAGCCTTGCCTGATGAATCAATAAATCAGACAAATAATTGAAACATTTTAAAATTGTGCTTTTTCTTCATCTCAGTTCAACCTGATGAATCAGAGAGATGAAAGCTTGAAATATTTTCAGATGTGATTTTTCTTCATCAAAGTTTAGTTGGAGCATTGGATGATGAACCAAATAGATAAATAATGAAAATATTTTCAAATTGTGCTTTTTCTTCATCGCAGTTAAACCTGATGAAGCACGGAGATGAAAACTTGACATATTTTCAGGTGTGCTTTTTCTTCATCAAAGTTTAGTTGGAGCCTTGCCTGAGGAACCAAATAGATAAATATTTAAAATATTTTCAAATGTGATTTTTTTTCATCACAGTTCAGTTGGAGCCTTGCCTAATGAATCAAATAAGACAAATAATTGAAAAGTTTTAAAATTGTGCTTTTTCTTCATCTCAGTTCAACCTGATGAAGCACAGAGATGAAAACTTGAAATATTTTCATATGTGATTTTTCTTCATCAAAGTTTAGTTGGAGCATTGCCTGATGAACCAATTAGATAAATAATGAAAATATTTTCCAATTGTGCTTTTTCTTCATCGCAGTTAAACCTGATGAAGCACAGAGATGAAAACTTGAAAGACTGTATGTTCCAATGTCATTTTTCTTCATCGAAGTTCAGTTTGAGCCTCGCCTGATGAACCAGCAAATAGATAACCAAATAAAATATTTTCAAATTGTGCTTTTTCTTCATCTCACTTCAACCTGATGAAGCAGACGAGAGATGAAAACTTGAAATATTTTCAGATGTGATTTTTCTTCATCAAAGTTCAGTTTGAGCCTCGCCTGATGAACCAAATAGTTTAAAGTACAGTATTTTCAATTTCTGCTTTTTCTTCATCACATTTCAAAATGTGCCTTGCGTGTTTTTCTTCATCACAGTTCGATATGATCATTGTCTGAAGAACCAAAGAGATGAATAATTCAAATATTTTGAAATCATATGTTTCATCATCACAATTCAACCTGAGCCTTGCCTGTTGAACCACAAGGATAAACAGTTGAAATATTTTAAAATTTTATTTTCCTTGATTTAAAATTCAACATGAGCCTTGCCTCTTGAACCACAGAGTTTAGAATTTCTTTCCAAGTTATTCCAATCTTTTGAATGCGAATTTTTTATGAAAAAAAACCAAAGTATATCTAGTAACATTTCTCGAAAGATCACAAAACCGTGGATCTTCCAAAGTCGGGAAAAACGGAACAGACAATCCCATACATTCAGGAGTAGACAGATTGACAGCCAGTATTCCGAATTTCAAGAAAATGATTGTGGAAAAAGAAAGCATGGAAGAAACGAAATGCTTGTCACAGGCTTCAAATGCTGCGTTTCAAAAAAAAAAAAAATCTTTCCCATGGGTTTGATCCGATGTCGATGGGGAAGGATAGAAAAAAAAAGGAAATCTTTTTTTTTTCCAAGCACGTTGGAACCATGGCAGGCGGAAAATTTGCATTCAAAATTAAGTCGCCGCATGAAATCGACAGTAAAGGAACGGGTGAAACCCTTTTCCTCAAGCTTATCTTTTTCTTTTTTTTTTCCGAAATCAGGATAAAAGATTTCCCCGAATGTAGTAGAAAATTTCGGGCTTCTTTTTTTCTGTGAGATGATGGCTACGATACTGGAATTCATGTAAATGAAAACCTCTATGACGATTGTTTTTGAAACCACCCTGCTTTTCAATCAGAGAAACGAAATCTTCTTATTTCTTAAGAGAGGTATGACAGTTTTTCATTTTGCTGATTTTTTTTTCTCATCTACCCATTTTACAATTCAGAGTTGAAACTTGTTCCTGTGACGGTCATTCATTGAATCAGCAGAAGCGAATATCGTAAAAGAAAAATCCAGGCGTTTGTCTCAAGCAATGCATTTTATATTAAAGCTAAATTAGCTTTTTCAACCTTGATTCATGTACCAAATCCTTGTACTTGTTTTTCAAGGGTGTACCGAAATGAATAAAAAAAATTATTCACGTTTTCAACTGATACAATTGATAAATAAAGTATAGCAATTCGAAATATCTTCAGATAAAGAGTGAATATTTTCTTGGCTGATTTGAAATTTTTAAAATTCGACTTCAGCAATTTCAGCTGAAACGAAAGCCAAAAGAAAACAGGTCCGTCATTAGATCAATGCACGGATTATTTTCAGCCACATTTTTTTCTGATTTTGTTGCTATTGAATCAATGAATCGATGATTAGTTCATATTTTTCATAACTTATATTTTGCTGATGAAGTATTGGTTCCACTGAGAGCTTTAAAATTATTGGATTATTTCCAGGCGGTAATCCATTCTTATAGAATAAGAAATACTGCATTTTCGCAAAATAAACGTGTAAGGATAAACCTGATGAATGACGAAAAATTATTCCAGAATTGCGGGGCAATGGTTTCGCCTTATTCTACGCTCAGAAAACAGACCACCGTTGCATCAATCATTCCGCAAAATCGGATTTTCGCATCAGAGGGACACCGACCTAATGTTTACCTAAGCCCGAAATCTAAGCCTTCGAGTGCAATTTACGGTTTCCATTAGCGACAATAATGCCTTAGCATATTGAAGAGAGAGAGGGAGAGATAATTTACGGCATTCCTGGGCATTTGGGTTTCAGATCTGGGCCCCGAAGACACGCGTGGAACAGAATTCCGGGAATCTGCTCAAGATGCTGAGTGGTGAGAGTATTTGTTTGAGATGCGAATGATTCATCTGAAATCATCGGATATTTCTTGTAAATAAATTGGCAAAGAATTTCAAAAAAAAAATAATTTGAATCGAGAGCCCCAGCTAACTTTTCTATACTCAACCTGGGATTTGTGTCTTTTTGAATTACAATCTCGATCATATGCTTCTTTTTTTTCAACATTATTGAAGATGAAAATCACCCCGGGTTTTTTCGTCACTAACATTCCAGGAAACTCACTATCCAATCAATTTCGTGCAACCCGAGGACTTTAACCCAGGGTTCATGTCTCAGTCGTTGATGTTGAAAACGTGTTTTATGTTGGTCTAATTTTCGGAACCCGGATTCAAGGTCGAAATTATCTTCAACACGTCTGATGGTGACATGCCTCGAGTGTGTTTCGAGCCTGGGTGCTCACAATTTAATGTTACCCACCTAAATCGGGGTCATCAGTACGACACACGCTTCTGTCGGAAAATCAACATGATGATCATCAATTTTCACAAAAGCACTGATTTACAACGGAAATGTACCGGCGATTCTTTCAATGAAAGCACAGGGACTCTTTCGAAACCCGGAGTTAATATTTTGATTTTGATAAAAGCTTGACGATGCTGAAGGACCAAAAAAAAAAGGTTTCTAATACAGTACATTATTATGCGGAATTCGGTGTTTGATTGAGGCCCTTTCCAGGTGATGTTTGTAAGACAAAAACTTCCTCTCGGGAATGTCTTCGGTTTCATTCCTGAAAACAATCTTCCAACACTATTTTTCAGCGAAATATTCTTGGTTTATTGGGTTTTATTAAAAAATTAAAACAGCAATGCTTCGTTGAAAAATTACGCAAAATTTAGCGAATTATACAGTACTTCAAGTGTATTGCGTGTATTTCTCGAAAAAAAACCATCCAATCAATTTCAAAAAATAAAAGAATAAGCGGTCGTGGAGCTCTTTGCTGCGCAGGCGCAAACTTGGAACACGTTAATATAACTGTAGAGGACAGAGGACGCTGCAAGACGAGAAACGCGGTCATCATTGGGTTTAACATCAGAACATGAAGTTAAGTCGGGTCCGAATCCCCTCAAGACACACTGGGATAAGCCCAGAAAAACGTGCATTTTCTAGAAGCAAATATTCCCAAATAATATCCCTAAATTAGTAGGAAATGCAATTCTTGAAATTGCAATTTTATTTTGAAGGGGAAAATTTGCCAAGCCTTGGGGAAATATTGGGAAAATGCGGCGCTCCCGCGTGGCACAATTCTAGCATCTGTTCTTGTTTATTTTTATGCGCGCGTCAAGAAAGAGCAAATACTGTAAAAGGAAAGAATTTCGCGCAATTTTTTTCGAGCTCCCTGGAGCAGTATAGTCAGAAGGATTTTTTGAGCTTGTAAAAGAGGGGTGTATCTTCGCCTTTACCATTGTTACTTGGATAAATAAAAAGTCTGCAGTTTTCCTGTCTTCAAGTCTGCCATCATTTTTCCCATTAACACAACTCCAAGATCCAACAAAAGTGAAATAAAAAGGACTGTGAAAGCCAACGCTTCTTCCTTTTCACTTATCTGGCACCGAAACCCGAAAGATAGGATCGTATTAGAAATAATCTCTACCACAGACCCAGAACAGTATCACCATGGGACGATGTTTCGGATGTAAAAAACGTTCCTCGACAATAGTGACATTTGTGATCGGGACATTTGCTGTGATTTCTTTACTATATTCGATATCCAATCAGAGAAAACTTGAGTTGAATTCAGTGATTGGCATCGAAAAGCGAGGAGAAGAATCACACTTGCGTGAGTCACTTTGTGGCAAGGGCATTTCCATAAGTTCCAGGGGCTTTTTCAATACCATATCTCTCCAAGATGAAACATATAATTCCTTTCTCAATGGAAATCTTTGCTAAAATTTCACAAACAATGCTTATATCAATCACACATTCAACGCCAGACGTACAAAAAAAATAGGGGAGTGTTTATTGATGAACATGCTGGAAAGCAGACAATTTCAGGAATACATTATTCATCATGATAATATTGAGAACCAATCCATCAGTTTTTGAAACATTTTCTGCGATCTTGAAGACAAAATGATGGCAAATTGAAATTCTGAAAATAGTATGCAATGCTTCGATTTCAAGGGTGATTTCACGGATTTTTAGACTTGCATTCTCTTCAATAATAAAACAGAATAAACCCGAAATCAACGCGATCGCCTAGAAAAAAAAGAGGTTTCTTAAAATTTGAGACATTGAAAAACTGATCTCAAACTTTTGCAATAGAATGAAAACTTTTGTGAATGCCTCCGCACTTCTGGTTTTTTTGATCACCACTCGCATGCGTCTAAGTTCCTTTTTTTCAGCAGAAGATACTGAACCATTCGATGCAGAATTCATAAAAAATTCTGAAAATGGAGAATTCACTGGAAAAAGGAGCAACCCCTCAACAAGTGTTGAATCTCAACGGAACCCGGTAACATATTTTTCAATACAAAAATTATAAAACCTCATTTTCAAATTCTGAGCATTTCATTGTCCAGCTAATCGTTCAATGCATATTTTGATGTGAATTCATTTGTCCCGATCGAAGACAAAATAAGTTCAGTTCGCATTTTTATACCTTCAAATATGTTCTTGTAGTGGTTGGAATTTGAATGAGCGAAAAATGCGTAGCCGATGACCTTTCCGTGAAACCTGGAATAAGAACCCCGGTGAATAATTAAACGCATTTCATGGCTTGGGAAATGCATGAAACTAACGGTCTTCATGTCGTCGATTCTTCCAATGAAAGGCTCGAGTTTTTAAAATTTTTCAATCGCTTAAAAGGAAGGAAATACAAATTATTCCAATTTTAAAGTGGTGTTTCGGGTGTACTGTACTGTACACTGGAAAAATGCACACTTCGAAATAATGGAGATGATTGGAAAGAAAACAAAAATTACTCTTTGGAAGCCGATAATTTTTTCGCTTGATCCTTACAGTCTTGTGCATATTCACCCACATCATAATAGCTCTTATCTAATCTCTTCCTCAGATATCAAAAGTGTACAGGCATGAAGAATCTTTCAATATTTCTATGCAACAACTGTACACAAGACTGGAGCAAGAAGTTTACAACATTCCAATCAAATACTGGAAAACGGTGGAATCCAAACTTTCCAAAATGAACCTGCGTCCAGGCTGTGCTCAAATGCCCAACATTTTCGAACTGTCTTTCGACAACTCACTTTGGCAATTATTTGAAGCCACAAACGCAACTTTCTACATTTATTCAGCTCACTTGGACAACAGAGCTCTGGTGCCAAATGCCACCATCAGAATCTTGAGCATGACCCATGTCTTGAACCCAAGACAAAATGCCTTTTGTCAGCTCTGGTACGAAGGTACCACAAACCCAGTCATAGTCCCGGTCATGAATTACAACCATATGTGGGGATCACGCTTGGGAACTTCGCAGAAACTGCAGCCTTACATGATTGAGTGCCAATTGCCATTACTTGACGGAAGTCAAGCAGCTCCGGTTGCTGTTTCAGTTGTTGAGCAAGAATGTGACATAGCGTTGAATTTGATCAAAGTTGTCTACAATCCTCGAGAGCCCAGAAAAAATCAGACACTTGCTGTTTGTGTCAAAAGGTTTCATCACGTTCACGACGAACCGGTTTTTAATATGATTGAATATTTGGAATTGGTTCGGATTTTGGGAGCGGAAAAGGTTTACATTTACATCCTAGAACCTCAACCCAACCCAAAGATTGAACGTATCATCAAGTAAGTATGTTCTCAGGTACCGTATTTTAAATACACCCAAGCATAATTTTATAGAAAAAGGATATTCGGGTTATCATTAAAAGATCAATTGATGCTCCCTCAAAATGAGAAATTTGTAGGATTTTCGAATCATCCTTTCCCTAGACGCACTTCCAGTGACATGAACGCTAAAATTATTTGCCAAATTTTAAAAAAAGTGCAAAGCCACCTGGCAATTCTTCTAATTTTTAGAGTAGACTTGGGAATACAAAACAACAAAATAAATATTTCTAAAATAATGTACCTCACAATATTGAGGCTTTAAAAAAATTTTTGAATCCTTAATTCAGCATACGTGGAAATGTGCGGCTATATAATTGAAAAGTTAAAATCATTAAATATAATTTTATATTTTTCCTCATTTGCTTGAAGCTCAAAATGAGTAAGAGTAGCTCCTGGCAAATTCAACACTCTCCTGGAGTCACTCAAAATATGCAAACATATTGTTCGAATCGAAGTTAATTACGACTTTCAAAAGAAGAAAATGAATTACCCGGTAGAGATGAAAATTATCAACACATTTCTTCTAATTTTTTTCCACTTCAATAAAACGAACACACATCATGGGGGTTTGGAAGGTTAAAAATACAAACAAGATATGACATTTGCTTTGAACTCTAAATTGAAAAGAATGAAGGCCTATATCATAATTTTGAGCTCATGCTCAAAATCCAAACACATGCTTGAAGATTGCGTTTTGTAAACTACGCATTGAATAGAACAACTAGTCAAGTTTCAGAAATGCAAAAAATAAAACTTTTACGATGATTTCAAAGACATTACGGTGATGAAACCAAAAAGATATCCAACAAATTCTGATGCATAGTGTTTCCTCTTCTCTGGCCTACAAACATTTAGTTCATATAAATAAAATTCTTTGGTTTTTTTTTTCAATGTCAGATACTACGAAGTTCAGGGCTTCTTGGAGGTATCCAGGATCACGATCCCAGGAAAGCGACCCAACTCACCCATTCTCCGCCATTTGTACCTCGACCATTACAGACACTTGGAATGGATCCTCGAGCTTATTCCTGCAGACGACTGCCTTCTCAAAAACCTCCACCGACATGACCTCTTGGCAATGACTGACTTTGACGAGGTCATAGTCCCTAGAAACGCGTCCACGTGGCGCGAAATGCTCCAACAGCTTCCACAACAACAGTGTTCCTCTTTCGCGTTCAGAAATTCATATTTCCCCTTAAATTACCAGGGGCAGTCGGAATGGAATCCCGAAATTCCGGAACGCATGACTTGGCTCAACAATGTTAAGCGGTTTGTTCAGATTTCAAAGCCTGGGACCCTGCTCAAAACTTTCATGAATACTTCGGATGTGTTGAAGGCACATAGTCATGCCGCACTGGATTGTGTGGGAAACAAGTGTCACGTTTGTCATGTGCCTGTTACTATAGGCGTTTCACATCATTACAAATCAGTGGGAGATGGGCAAATGAAAATGCAACCCGACCCAAAAAACTTTTCCACCGTGGAGGACTTGAGGTTGTGGCATTTCAAAGAGGAATTGATACCCAGGTACCAACAGGCTGTCAGTGATTTGGGATTCGATTTGCTTTGACGCAATGCACGTGAGAATTTAAAGAAATAAATCCATCCACGGATTGTGATGCTTGAAAGCATATTCTTTGTACAGTATATACATCCCCACCAGAAGAGCTGCGATTAATAAAAAATAATTAGGAATCAAGGACATAGATTCCTCTAATTTGGTTTTTAAAGTCAGATGATTTTTTTTCTTTCATATATTCTTTCAAATAAAAAGTCTTTCACGGACCACAAACTATAGGTTTGTTGCATAATATTTTTATGTGTTTCATTTCTACCTCACTTGATAATAAGTATGTGAACAATACATTTCCACTCATATCAATTCATCTACTTTCCGATGCTCAAATTCTACTTTTTCAGACTGGTCATTGAGAGAAGACCAAAGTTGAAATCCACCTCAACATACGGAATACGTTTGATCTTTATGGGACAATATACCTTGAATTTTACTTTTTTTCATACTTGAATAAGAATTTTACCTTCCACACTGGAAATATTTCAGGATTTCGTGGACAGCGCTAATTTTTTAAAATCGCTAAGAGGTCCACATCTCCTTGTAGATGCACTATTCAGGAAAATCCCTTCGGCAAATGAAGACATTCCATTCCAAACAAAGCATTGCATAAAATATCATGCTAAAATTCACCATCTTAGCGCAAATTGACAAGAAAACTTCAGTGGTACTAAGTGACATGACATTCAATTCAGATTTTCTGTAAGTGTATAACAAAAGACAATTTGTACTGTACCTGCGAAATTTGTGAAAATAATTGAGGGTGAGAAGAAAAATAAGTAGAACAAATTTCGAGGGTTGACTCCAGTACCACACATTGAAAAAAAAATTAAGGATTCAAGCAAAGTTGATAATGAATAAGAAACAAGGTCAATCAGCCGATTTTCACCCAAGACCATCGCATTCAAGGAATGACCTCAAATATATTTTCTCAGTTTCAAAACACAATTTATTAAACAAATTCATATGGGATACGAAACAATTCCCAAAATCAACACAGTAAACAAAACACAGTGAATGAAGATAATTAACACACCACAAAAATGCTGATGGAATAGGATAACGAAAGTAAAGGTCCTTTATTCACATTTTAAGTACTCGGAAAAGTATTTCCCTCAGCTTTTAACAAACAATTTGACAACGACACGTGATGTGAAGACGTCGTTGGCTAATTTCTCGGCATGCTTTTCTCCTTTCATTCTTTTTGCCAGAGGAAGTGCATTTTCAATATGGACACAGTCGTATTTTTACACTGCAGTTTTTCCTTTAAATTCGGTCAAGGAAAAAAAAATTACAGTAGGTATCCGTCCAGAGACTTATACTGCAAAATGTAAGGTTAGATCACATTGCCAAAATCTCAGTGTCATGCTGATGTGCAGGATTTTGGCACACGCTTCAGTCATTTCACGCAAGACTGTGGAGGGGTTCCCCTGCTGAAATCTCCTCTGAGGCAAAGAACACAAAAGTTCCACGTTTTGAAAAATGCGCAAAAAAACTTCCGTTTTAAGTGTGCGAAATAAATTCCAGTGCATTAAGAAATGTTCATACTGTTCAATTTTTGCTATACTTGTGCTTTTCGTCCGATTCTACTTCAACGACACCCAACACGAGTCACTTGACAGAAATGTTGATCGATTCAGAGAAGGTAAAAAAAACGCGGACTTTCCGGAATATTGATCTTTGATAAATGAGTAAAAGTATTATCGAAGTGCTTCCTTAAACTACACTTTCGTGAGTGGAATAAATTCAAAGAAGAAAAAAACTGCTCACTTTGTGAAAAACCCAAAATTTAGGTTGGAAATGTTCGAAATATAAAAAGTAAATCGATTAAATCCCGATTGCAATCAATTACAGAGTTCAGTGATGCTTGAAAATCAGAAAAACCCAAAACCCTTTGTTTTATGCTGAAAAACAAATATGATTTTCACTGTAAAAAAGCAATCAGAATTTTAAATTATTTTTCTACTCAAAAGTTCATATTGAATGTTGAAAAACGAGTGAAAAATCACCGCTCCTGATTTCACGTCTGATTGTGCCGAATTTTATATTCGGTTTATATTCAATTTTGAGCATGGTACCAAATCTTGGTTTCCTTTCTTAATGGTAAATTTCAACATGGCAAAATATTACCGAAGGCAGGCTTTGTTTCCAAACGTAAATTCCTAAAACGCTTTTCTCGTTTGCTTCCATCAACCTGCCAAAAAAATAGCAATTATAACAGAAAATAAAAACTTTGTTGCAAATGTATTCTGTTGCTGTTTTCGCGTCTCATCTCCGCCAAAAAATACGAAACTAGAATATAAAGTTGCTAAAATCTGCGAGACGTCAGCGTTGATATTTTTTCCTCTTCCTCATACGGGTGCAACAAAAAAAAAATTTGAACCTTCGACGAAGATGATGAACTCCGCTACAATTTGACACGAAACGACTTATTGAGCGTGGAGAGAGAAAATCCAAATGTTCCGGGAAAGTTCTGGATATCCGTCAAGAACAACTTGAACAAAATGAAGAAAGGAACTGATTGTGCACAACTGCCAAACGTTCTCAACTTGGATTATGAAAACTCTTTTTGGCAGCTGTTCACGACGAAAAATGGAACCTTCTACTTATATTCAGCCTATTATGACATTCGCCCACGGTCACCAGCACCCACAATGAGGATTCTATCAATGAGCAACACGCTGAACCCTACGGTACCCGTGTCCTGTCAAATCTGGTTCAACAACAGGAATGATCCCGAGATTGCCAAAGTGGTAAACTACAGGCTACTTTGGGAACCTAGTTGGGGAACTGGGGCAAGAATCTACCCGTACTCGATTGAATGTGAGGTGCCAACAGTGAACGGGCAGAATTTGGTCCCTGTCGCAGTTTCATTGGTTGAAAATATTTGCGATACGGCTACGAATCTCATCAAAGTGACCCACAACGCCTTGAAACCCGGAGAAAAGAAATCGCTCGCGGTCTGCGTCAAACGGATGTATTTTGTAAACGAAGAACCGATCTTTAAGTTGATCGAATACCTGGAACTCGTTCGAATTCTCGGCGCCGAAAAGGTCTACATGTATGTTCTCGAACCACAGCAAAGTGCGAAGATTGAGAAGATATTCAGGTGATCATATCAACGACATTATATTCATCAAATTCAATACAAAAATGGCTCAAAAAGAATCACGAACTGTATTTGAAAAATCAAACTGGATGTGGTACAATTGGTTTCTTGAAGCTTGTTGAAGTCGTTGACGTTTAAAATTCAGAATTACGAAAAAAGTCTACCAAGTCAACAACAAAAATTTGTCTCAGGGCTACGACGAAAACTCATGTAAACAAAACTTCGGGAAATTTTACAAATGGCCACAAATTAAATTCAGTTTTAAAATTATCTCTTCATAGCAATTACGCCCAAATGAGCGCATCAATTCACCTGAAAAACACGTCAAGCAAAATTATAAATTTAATCCGTGAAGTCGAAATCAACGACTATAGTGGCAGTAATTTCAAAAATTAAATACCTGAACAATTACTGACCCCAGATTATATTTTTCAGCCGCTTCTACAGTATATAGGAAACAACGAACATTTGAAAAACGAACTCATGGTACATCATCCAACCACGTGTTTCATATTTGAAAAAAAAAATTAGTCAGTCCAACTGCTCTACTGATTTTTGAAAAATTAAAAATCGATCTACACGAAACTTCCCAGATCCAAAAATGACAAAACTCTAAAATTCTTGTGAAATGGAAATATTGCATTGTTTACTTACAGAGTGTTTTTTTTTCTCTAGTCAACAGTGGTTTGAAAGGAAGACGAATAATATTGAAAAATGGGGGTGTCAGAAGATTTTGAGTTAATGACACACGTGACGAAACGTTTTAGAATTTACATGCAAATATTTTATTCCTCTCCTGATGCTGCTGAAAATGAAGCATGAAAATTAACGAAATTTTAATTTGCTTTGCTTTCTAGATACTATGAAGCTCAAGGTTTGTTGGAAGTATCCCGGATAACTATTCCCGGACAAAGACCAAACTTGCCAATTTTGCGCCATTTGTACATCAAAAAGCACTTGCACCTCGAATGGATGTTTGAGAACATCCCGACAAATGACTGTCTCTACAAGAGCTTCTACCGACACGACCTCATTGCCAATATCGACCTAGACGAGGTCATCATCCCGGAAAACGGGTTGTCCTGGCGGCAAATGATCCAAAAAGTGGTGGTGAGCAGTAAGGACACCCCGTACTCGACAATCACAACCCGCAACTCCTACTACCCCATCAACTTCCCGAAACCCAAAAACTGGAACCCGGGTGTCCCTCCTCAGTTCCCCATGCTGAACACGATTCGTCGGCTGACCAAATACTCAAAGCCCTTACATTCAGCCAAGAGCTTCTTCAACACGGAAAATGTGATTGTTTCGCATAGTCACTGGGCTTTGAGCTGCCTCGGGCAACAGTGTTCCAGGTTGGATGTACCCACGGAAATTGCGACATCGCACCATTATCGCCCCTTTGGACCCGACCAATTCGCAAATCAGGACGTCATCAGCAATGCCACAGTGGCGGATTATTCTCTGTGGAAATGGAAGGACCAACTGGTTGCAAAATGCGTCGAAGCTGCAAGAGATCTTGATTTTCTGTAATCCTGTACGACAATGCGGTATTCCTTCGAATACGAGAGGTCTAGAAAAAAAGTTCTCAGCATATTAAAAAAAATGGCGTATAATTCAGCTGACAAAAAGTTATTCTTTAGGAAAAACATATTCTTTGGCACACAAAAAAAATCAGCCCTGTTCAATAAATTTGTTTGAAGGTTTTGCGAAATTCAACATTGGCGGCTGTTGATGAAAATGGCGGAATTGCCTTGGAAGATCTGGAGGCAACACTTAGAATTAATGCCACGTTGATTTCAAGAATTCTGAGGGGAAAGCTGGACTACAACAACAAAAATCTGCAGGAGGGGCGACTGGGGTGAATTTTGCAAAACATTAAAAAAAAAGTTGTCAAACTGGGCTAATTTTTTTTGCGAAAGAATGTGTTTTCCCTAAATAATGAATTTTTTCACCACAATTATACGCCATTTTAATTACTATTCCGAGAACTTTTGTTAGAACCCTCGTACAGTACCAAAAAAAAAAAAAAAAAAAACAATGTCCAAAAGTACAATTCCGACGAATACCAACGAGTTCACACACATCAAAAAAAAAAAATAAGGCGATTCTAAATTTCAGACACTAAGAAGCTCAGGGCTTGTTGGAGGTATACAGGATCACAATCCCATAGGAAAGCGACCCAACTCATCCATTCTCCGCCATTTGTACCTTTAAAAAATACAGACACTTGGAATGGGTCCTTGAGCTTATTCCTGCAGATGACTGCCTTCTCAAAAACCTCCACCGACATGACCTCTTGGCAATGACTGACTTCGACGAGGTCATAGTCCCTAGAAACGCGTCCACGTGGCGTGGAATGCTCCAACAGCTTCCACAACAACAACGTTCCTCTTTCGCGGTCAGAAATTCATATTTCCTCTTAAAATTACCAGGGGCAGTCGGAATGGAATCTTGAAATTCCGGAACCCATGACTTGGCTCAACAATGTTAAGAGGTTTGTTCAGATTTCCAAGCCTGGGACCCTGCTCAAAAAATTCATGAATACTTCGGATGTGTTGAAGGCACATAGTCATGCCGCACTGGATTGCGTGAGACAACAAGTTTCATGCTTATTGTCATGTGCCTGTTACTATGGGCACATCACATCACTACAAATCAGTGGGAGATGGGCCGATGAAAATACAACCCAACCCAGAAAAAAAAAAAAATTTCCACCGTTTTTGAAGATGTTGCAACTTAAAGATGAATTGGTACTTCGATACAAACAGACCGTCATTGATCTTGGATTCGATTTTCTTTGATGATGTTGAAATTTGAGTTCAGAGAATGATTTCATCAATGGAGTGTGATGATTTGGAGTACAGTATATTACGGTTGTTTCTGTATGAAAAGAGCTTCGTCATTCAAAAATGTAAATAAACGCGGAGAATTCTGTTTATTTTATTAACGCAGGACACCCTTAATATTACAATGCTTTCAAATTTCAGGCTTTTTTTCCAAACCAGAACAAGCAATTGACGTGTAGTAATTTCCGTCACATTAAATGCTTCCAGTTCGAGAGCATAAAGCTGTTGAAAGACTGGAATGACGATGATGTGCTTCAGGAATAACTGTACTTTGAAGACCTTTCAGTGTCAGAACCAGACCAAACCCAACTCTTCATTTTCTTTCCAAGATTATCTTTGTGGAAACGAGATTTTGAAAACTTCCGATTCATCTCAGAAACAGATAACTCAAATAACAACAACATTCCAGGGGATTTCACAAAGTTCTGTTGCCAGTTCTATACCAAGAGGAGAAACAAATATGACATTCTTTTTGCACGTCTTAGACCCCCCTTTCAGAAGAAGATTGTTTCTTAACCATAAGTATAACTAAATTTTTCAACTTGAAGTACTTCTGTACTTGATGGCAGAAGTTTCATATGCCTAAGTAACCTTACTGTCGATAGTCACAAATTTGCATAACTGGGTTCGAAATAATTTGTTGGAGTAAATGGCTTTGTAAGTTCAAGATAAGTTGCCACTGGTGGAAGAATTACCAATAAAGACTGTTTTCCGTGCGGAAAATTGCACTTTTTGAATGATACACGAGTAAAAATTATTTTGGGAATCAAAAATTTAATTTACTCCCATGCGTGTACTAATTACTGCATTTGTTAATAGAAATTGCGCATCATTTTCACCTCAACACGGCATAAATTCCATAATCGTATGCCATTCCACTGTCACTTCTAAGATTGAAAGATTATGAAAAAAAAAATGAATAAATGCGTATTGTAAAATAAAGATACTTATTGTCAGTCTACTCAGTTGAAAAAAAAATTGCATTCAATCAATCAAAAACACACATAATTCTTGACAATAAGTGAAAATTTTTGGACTACCTCATATATGATTGATCAGCAGTCTTTATTTTCTGCTTTTAAACATTCGAAAGGTTCAAGCAATGTTAAAACATCCAAACCCCCTCCACATTCATCCAAACAAATTACATCACATCAGAATGGAAATTAGAGAAATCAGTTGTGCATGGATATTAAAATAAAATAAAATACATCCAAAAATGTACAATTGCACAACTGATATAAATGCATACACTTTCTCCCCTCCCCAATAACAAAATGAGAATATCAGGAATAAAAATTGCAGCATGAGGCAATTATTGAACCCACATTAAAGCACAAGGTGTTCAGCTTGCTCCCAAATAAGTTTTAGTTGATTTAAAAATTTGGAGAGAATCTTTGATGAGAAATAGTATAAGGTTAACAGCTTATCTTGGTCATCTATGATTTTGGAAAGTGGCTTTTCATTAAATAGAGTCCCAAATCTGTTTAAAGCTCATTTCTGTTATGCTGGGCATAAGAAAAGAAGGTGCTATGTATGCAAACAATTTACTTGGGAATAAAAGACGTCATATGGACTTTTCCAACACCAAAATCGGGGGGGGGGGGGGGAAAGGGGGTCTTTTGCTCACGATAACACTGTGAAGTATAACTTCTTGCTTATATTGCTCTTCCAAGCAGAAGTTTCATCATCCCAAGATGCTCCTTTTTTTTTTTTTACCGCCGATTCCCTTCTGCTAATAACATTCCATCAAAAGTTAGAATATCTATTGTGGGAACAGAAAAAGGTGTTCCTCTTCTTCATTTTTTTTTTCCTACACCATTCTTTGTGTAAAGCCCCTTTTTTCTTCCTTCACATCACACGTAGGTTTTCCGTCATCATACAGAGGGTTGCGTCAGGCGTCAGTTGGGCGCAAGATCTTCCGTCATTCTCGTTTGCAGATAAATAAGCACATTGTACAACTGAGCGAAAAGAGACGAACTGAACGCTGCCGAACTGAGCATCTATCTCTGCGGATATTTCCGTGCGCTTTTCCTGTGCTGAAAAATTATTAGTTTTTTCAGTTCTGTCGCTTGAAATACAGTATTTCACTGACTACAGTCCAATTAATTTCGTCATATTTTTATCTTGAAATAATTCCGAGATATTCTCCGAAAAATACTAGTTGTAAAAATAATATTTAAATACAATTATAAAGCACAAACTACTTGCTGAGCGACGAACTCGACTCTTTCTGAGACTCAGGTATAATTTCAAAGCTGCATTGCAGTAGAATATCCCTAAAATGAATCTCGTTATCACGAAGAATTTATTACAATGCAACAGTTTTGGTTGTTTTTTTTTATCCCCGTCCTAAAGTCACAATGTAAAATGAGTTACTTCATAACGAATTTTTCGTTAAAAAGAAGTCCTTTCACTGGTCCCAATGGCTTCTTTGTAACGAGATTTCACTGTATTACGGATTTTTCAGTCAAAAATATTAACATTGGGCTTTTGTTTTCCCAAAAAAATAAACCTCGTCCGGCACGTATGATTACTGTTGAAAAGCCCAAAAATACCCAATTAAAATCAATAAATATTCAAGGTCATAGCACCACCGAGTCCGCGAATTTATTAAAAATCTCGTTACAAGGAATCGTGATATAACAAATTACTGGCTGCAACGAAGCCTTTTTCAGGTACCTGCTGAACAGCAATAATGATGTTCGAATCGTTCCCTGACGGATTTAGCGTTATAACGAAGGTTTTTTTTTCCTGAAGCTAATTAATTGTTAATTTTTTAACAGCTTCGTTATAACGAGATTTCACTATAATTTCATATTTTGTCAAACATTCTCACAAACCATTCACAGCAAAAACATGAAAAATTCAATAGGGCCTCAGTGAGTGAAATACTGCATTTAAAAATAATTTAGATAAACAAAACATCGTCCCAGCAAAGGCAGGCGATTCCAAGATTTCCGCAAGAGATGCTCAGTTGAGCAGCGCTCATTTGGGCAGCGCTCAGTTGGGCAGTTGCGCGTCATACAAAATGTCCCGTCTGCTGGGAGACATCAACACCCACACACACACAAACCCGTGTCAACCTCGACAGTGACGACAAGCCCCCGTGTGACACATGGCGCAGAACAAGAACCCGAGGTCACCAGCAGTCTTCGGTACAGTACTAAGGGTGTTCCCATACCAAACGAATACAAAAAAATAATAATAATAATAAAAATAACCCGACAGCAGGACACGCCCTCGCACATACTTATGAAAGAAAATATTCTTTTTCATATGAACTCAAAATTAAATGCCACATCAAGTTCATTCAACGGCATCACCCTCGTCTAAAAGAAGAAACTTGGAAGCCAAGAAGACGAAGAAAAAGTAAATGTCAACGTTCAAAAAAATTATACTCCACGTAACTTCGAAAGCCAAGATTTCTGGCTTCATGAAATCGCACAATTTTGTACTGTACCTAGGAAATAACCCGGGATGTCTTACTTTTTGAAAACCCTGTAATCTCAAATTGAATAACTAAGCCCGAAATCGCGCTCAAATGCGAGCTTCCTTGAGTTCATTAGCTCGTCTGATGAGAAACTCGCGCCAGGAATTAACGGCAAGTGTTACCATATTTAAATTTTTCTATTTCCATCAACTCGACGTCGTGGAAGGGACCTAAAAAAAAGCTGCAAATAAGAAAAAAAAACTCATAAATCGTCTCCCACTTTTCCTCAATTTTTAAAATTCGCTTTCAACGACTTCCCGGATTGTTCAGGATTAATTTCAGGGTCAGGAAATCATTTCACGACGGATTTTTACTAACTTTTTCGGTTCGACGTTCGAATTTTGGTTTCCGAACGAAATTCAAGAAATCCGCCTCCGTTTATTTTTCAAAATTTTGCGACGAATCTTAGCGGACCTTCTTGGATTTTTCCATCGTTTTCTAGTCATTCTCAAATAGGAAAAAAAACGATCCGCTTTATTCCTTGTCGTGAATACGTGAAATAAATCAAATTAAAAGCTGCACAAATCATCTACAGAAGGGACACGAATGAGATTTGGATTTCTTGACAACGAGATGATTTATGGACGTCAATCACTTCAACAAATGCGAGGAAATAGATTGAATCATGAACAAATTATTACTGACAGAAGTTCTTCCAGTAGCATAAATGGTTCGAACAAACATCCACTCGGAAACGTGACTCNTTTTCTATTTCCATCAACTCGACGTCGTGGAAGGGACCTAAAAAAAAGCTGCAAATAAGAAAAAAAAACTCATAAATCGTCTCCCACTTTTCCTCAATTTTTAAAATTCGCTTTCAACGAC